CCCCAAAACCCCAAAACCCCAAAACCCCAAAACCCCATCAGGCGGATCAGTGGCTGAAAGATTATTAAATTAACAGATCTCAGATCGATTATCACCGCATCTCTAAAATCCAGGTGAAGTATTGTCTCTATCTGTCCCTCTTATCAATCGTCTCTTGCCATCAGTTCCTACATCCTAGCTCTTATTCACTTTGTGCTATTCGCTAACTCTTCAGCTTCCTAAAGCTCTTGGTCTTCTGAAGAATTTCTGATGCTCGTGTAAAAATATCATGAATGCTTGTTGGTTACTTTACCAATGTCACTTATAAAAGTGTGGTGGTCCCTCAGACCTTCGACAATAGAAGACCCGAGTAATTTGTGCTAGAATATAAAAGTATTTTTGTTTGGTATTTATAAATTTTAGTAGCAAAATTAAAAATGGATGGTAAGTATTAGTGAATATTTGCATTAATCCCAATAGCATAAGTACCAATCCACCTACCTATTTTATCAAACTAAACTTGCATAGTAATTCAAGCGTGGAGAGAGTTGGTAAAGAAAGCAAGAAAGCGAGAATTTGCAAGAACAAGCAATGTAACGTCTAAAAGGTTTAAACTCGAGGAGGATAAAGAGGAAGAGAAAGCACCGTCAACGAGGTTCCAGCCTACCAGGAATTTGAGAAAGAGAAAGAAACCTGCTATTAAAGATGCCTCAAGTGTTACGTCAAATGAAGAATCAGATGAATCATTTTCTGAGTCTGGAAAATAAGCGCAAAAGAAAAAATTCTGCACAAATCAACGTTCTACTCGAGCACTTCTCAAACAATCCAGAATGGAGTCGTCCTGCGATTCAGAATGCCGCTAATGAAGCTGGATTAAGTTATAGTCAGGCTTACAAGTGGGGTTGGGATCGAAAGAATAAATCTGATCTCTCTGAGAACTTTAATAAGCCTTCTAAAGACGAGTTTGGAGGCTATTCGAAACATTACTTCACTAATCAGGGAGACCCCATTGCCCAGGTTATCGGCAAAAATTTAGATGTGGAGGTTGAGAAGCTATTCAATAACCAGACGCCAAGCAGGGGAGAGGAGAAATCAGTAATGATGGAGAAAACTCCAAAGAATAAAAAGGAGAGAAAGTTAACAGAGAAAGTTAGAGGAGAATACACAGAGAGCCCTCGTATTTTACCATCTAAACTTTGCCAACCAATTTCTCTCTACCAAGACTGAGCAGCAGTAGTACGAAGAGAGACTCAGATGCAAACACCCAATCTCCTTGAACCCCAGGAAGAAGACCTCGTTACCCTGACAAAGCCCATACGCGATTCAGAATGTGGTAAGGCTAGAGATCCTGAGGATATTCCTGTTCTTTACTAGGTTTTATTTTCTGCCTGTTAATTTTTATTCATATCCACCAAGTTTTTGAAGAATACATCTATCGTCATGACACCTTGGGACCTTCCTCAAGCAACTGAGGAGTTTGTCTTGGTGATATCTTGGTCCTGCTCCCACTGAAAAAAAATCTAACATTGTTACTAATGTTTACATAGGCACTGTACAAGTAACTAATAATCTGTTCCTCGATACAAGCGCCAATTTTAGAGATTCAAAGATTATATCAGAAAGAAAGTTGGATTCTTCAGAACATTCATTTTAAGAAAAAGAGCTCATCAGATGTCAATTCGAGCAGGATAAAGTGCAGCGAGGACTTAGAACTCAACAAAGAGAATCCACCTCGTTCTCAGGTAGATATGATTGAGAGGTAAGCAATTCGGTTCTGATATATAGCCCTAAAAAGGAAATATCTTCATTTCAACATCCAGTAATGCTGAAGGAAATAGAAATTATGAAGCCTTTCTGAAATCTGAGGAAGAATTTATCTAGAACACCCGAGCAGATTACCCCGCCTGAAGAAAGCTTACTCGGGCCAGATTATGAAGAGATCAACTGAAGGCACACAATAAATTTGACTCTAATAGAGTTTGAGATTGTAAGCGAGCCTCCCTCTCATCATCTGAAGGCGATATGCAGGCCATTCCAACTGGAAGAAAGAGGAGGTAGAATCGAAGAGGAGAAAAATCAGGAAGTTCTCTCAAAGGAGAGGTATCCTTCCTTTCCAGACCTCCTATCTAATGATTCTGAAATAGAGAAGAAGCTTGACCTAGGAGAGGGCTTCGACATCTAGAGACGGATGCAACCGTATATTTAGCTAATTATCAATAATTGATGCCAATTGAAGTGCGATGTGACGGGGTTTTGGGGTTTTGGGGTTTTGGGGTTTTGGGGTTTTGGGG